TGCCATTACGTGAACCGTGTTTAGCTGTGCATCATCTGTATCATCCGGTAGCTCGACTACTGCCTGCAGCAGGCGCCGCATGCTGTCCAGAATTTCCGCAGTCTTCACGTGCAGTCGTAACGAAGACGATGGAATGAGAAATGGCGGACAATTGAAGAGGAACGGTGAGTTGAAATTTACTTGCAGTGGCACTCGAAAAGGGTCATCGAATTCGAATCCAGGTTGGCCAAACATGACAGATTGCGTGTCGTGACATAGAGCAATCACAGCATCATTGCTAGGAAATGTGGGTCAGCATTTCTTTTGACTTGCGGTTTTCCATACAATATTCTTGAGGGGGCGTCATGTGACTCACAGCAGTGCAATTTTACTGGTAAAGCCTTCCATGCCGAGGTTCTGACAACCTCCCCGGAGTTGAATCATCTTCTTAAACCCCGTCATGTGAGCGTGCAATTCCTCAGTGCTGCTCCAGTACCACGATGTCAGAATCAGTTGCATGACTGCAAGCATGGCCGAGTCGCTTGTGCACAAAGTCGGAGAGCTAATGTACTCATTAAGCATTTGCGCCGCCGTGGCCCTGTGAATGTGGAGAAGAACTTTTGGCAATCGACCAGTCTCGTGGAGGAAACTCGCCGTGGTGCAAAGAACTATATGCAGAACAAGTCGATCCTGGATCGAATATGGAATCCAGTGCTTCATGAATCGATTCTTCGGCCGTGGACTTCCATCCAGCGAGGCTTTGAATCGACTCAAGAGTTGAAGATCTGTCATGACGTGTCAGCCGGATGTAATGCAAGCCCTTCCTTGTGGTCTGGTGCCAAGACATACGAGTTCGGACAAGTTCCTTGTTCATTTTTGTTGGCGCCATGGGTAGACGCTGCATCTGATCTTCAAAGCTCGAGATGTTCTTGCCGGGTTGATCCGGTGCATGCAATGCCCGGATCAATTGCCTGCCATCAATCTCCCATTCATCCTGGACAATGCGATTTGCAACGCGTAATCGAGTTTGCATAATGTACTGGACCAATTCGATGAGGTTCCGATCTTTCAAAAGACCCGACTTGTCTCGAAACTTCATCATGAAAGGTTTGCCCCCGGACCACGGTTCATCCTCCATAGAGTAAACTGGTTGCTCCCGGTAGATGAGACGGTAACCCTGAGGCAGCGCTTTTGTCTGTATGCCAAAGGCATTGTCATACGCATCTCCCAAGTCCAGTCGACCCTCAACATCGAGAATGGCATCATGGACCGAGTCCATATCAAGGTGGGAATATAAGCCAGAACCGGCCTGTTGGGTGTTTTCTTTAGAGCCTGGAGGACTCGACCAAGTCCTATGTGAGAAGTTCATCGTTAACATTTCCTTGCCCCGTATATATGTCGATATTTACCTGCCGGCCAGCTAGTCTGCAATGAGTGGATGCCATTGAACAGGGGTATCGGAGACCATCTTCATCAGTCATGGATCATGCTGTGCCGGGTGGAGTTGAAATGGTTTCTTTCCGCAATTCCATACCTTTTGACCTTGGCGACGCCATACTCGCAAGTGGGTTGGGGGAAACGGCGGGCACAGTTGGTGCAAGGGTGAGTCAGTGAGCACTATTTTATATACATGGCATTAGCAATCCGCGACTCGTGTTTTGGGCGGCTTTACTATTGACAAAATATGGGCGGATGGCCAAGCGAGCCTGAAGCAGGCATAAAACACAGGCATAAAACACAGGTTGTAAAGGTTGAAACTGTCTGTCAATGGCTGGAAGCAGGAGTTGAAGGCGCTTTGCAAGAGTAATGGTCATGTCGGAAAAGGGATCTGAGATGTAGTTTTGACACCAGAGCTTTGGGCATGCTTAATCAACCATGGAGTATCTCCTATGTATCGTTGAACCCTGTAGTCTATAGCCGCGGCTGACGTCAAGATCAGACCCGAGCCGCTGAACAGCCGGAGGCCCTGTCAGAACGTATTGAAATGCTCAAACCAGGGATGGAATCATGTGCCAAACCCATGTGTGCATCAGGCTTTGAAGCGGCGGATCGCCCTCACATAAGCGGTGACCCAACACAGTCAAAATCGGCGGCTTCATCACTTGTCAACAAATCACACTGACCTTTTGTTTCCTCCGCCGACACTCTTTGCATGCTGAAGGGTATCTCGTCTTAAATACCAAGCCACGCTCCTGCGTCCCCAAGACGGGCTGAGCTTCACCTTCCGTCGGAGGCGAACGAGATGGCGTGTGTGGGTGCGGCTGAGCCCCGTGCAGCTGCAAGCTTTCGGAGGCCATGCTCTCTATCCACCTTGGGTGTAGTGAACGGTTACCATAGACTCGGAACGCGCCAAGGCGCTGTGACCTGAAAGTGACGGCCAGAAGCCCCAGTTGCAAGCGTTTCCGAAGCCCTGGCTGAGGGTCGGTCGATGCTATATGAGTCGTCCTGCCACGCGACCGGCTGAACGGAGAACCACTGCCCAGCTAAAGCACGTAGATAGGGCTGATGGGGGTGGATACAACTAGGCTACGCGCTGTCGGGTAATCGTAGATTCTCGGAGGCGGCGTGTGTGAAAGCAGGAGGACTGGATTCGTCTTTATTTCTGCGCGAAAAGATGCCTCTGTGCAAGATGCGGAGAGGGGCAAGGGAAAATACCAGCAAGACAAACAGCTGGTGGAGACTTTTTAAGAGACTCGAGGATCGGGCAGGCCAAGCACAAGCAACGCCAAAGGGGCGAGCCAAAGGGGTAGCGAATGGGCCACTGGGAGGCGAGAATGAGATGACCAAGTTCTTGACTGGTGCTCAGGCTCTCTACCAAGAGACGGAGTACTAGTACTACTCGTGTTCAGTTGAGGCTCTGGGCAAATGGTTCTGACAGGCGGGAGCCAAGTGGTCCGTTTCGTGGCCAGCAAGCCGGTTGACTGGGCATCTGCGCACTTTGCTGCAAGGTCAAGCCAAGGGACGAATGAGAAGCGGGACAAGCAGTCGAGGGCGAGAACGAGCCGACGAGCGAACGAGCGAGCGTGAATGAGTCGGCGGTAAGATGGGACGGATGGATCGAGTCGGGAAGTGGACCAGTAGAGCAGTTGGCCTTGGTCTTGGTTCGGGTGGTAGCTGACCCTTGATCGGAGGCTGGAACCTTGGAAGGCGTCTAAATTAGAATGCACGGGGTAGTTACGGAGAACAGAGAGCGGGATGTACAGAAGACGAGGCGACAAGTTCGAACTTTGGGAGGTGATGTGGACGACACGTGCTTCGTACAATCCTACAACATGCATAAAGGAAGGAAGGAGCGCACAAACCATTCAGGATGCTCCTGCCTTCCGTGCATGCTCCCAGGCTTATGTGCTCTTTCCCCCTCCTTGATGACGTTGAGGATTCTGATTTCTGTTCCCATTCCGTTACAAGCAGGAGACCAACGACCAAGACAAAAACAACCGCACAGCGCAACACAGAACCCACATACACCCGCGCCAGGGTGGTGTCATGCAACCAGACCTTTGTGCCGCCAGGGCTTGAATCCTATGGCATCTTCTGTATCTGGTAAGGTGCCAGATGGGGTACCGCCCGCAAGCGTCTTCTGCGGGGATCAGTCACTGGCAGCACTGTCTCTTTACCGCAACAGATGCTGCAATCACGACAAAACAAAAAAAAATACAAGACGAAAAGAGCCGACAGGTTCAAAAACTTATAAATGGATTTCCCGTCTAATTCCTACAGCACAGGCTCCGTGGACAATTAAGCATAAAGTCATCAATAATACCAGCTTTAAATACTCGAAATCTGCCACGTTGCTACCTACCCGGGACCATTGCGCGCTTTTCATCACCGTTCGATATTGCAGTTTAAAACCTAGAGTCGTCCAACGTGTATCGACTGGGTTCGTCAATAAATTATATCTCAGATTGTCCTTTTGAAACTGAACATCTGCTGACAAGGAATTGGCTCAAGAAATATCTTCTCCTGCATTGCGACCTCGACAATCGACGCTTCCCAGTTCCCCTTGCTGTGCGTTGTACCCAGAGAGTGCATGGGAAGATGACAAGTCAAGTAGTATCTAGAACTAAGTAAAACATCCTTGCTAAGAAACTAACGCATTCTCTCTGGCTGGTCTTATCATGCAGTCCCCGCTCAACATTCCCAAGGTACCTACTTATGTAGGTACTTTTGGGATATGCTGCAGTACATCGGTGGCGGTGCCACCTTCAGAACCGAGACGAAGAAGGAACTTTGCAGCGTGGTTAATTACGGCTTCTAGTCTTGTTAAACTTTGAGTGCTATTCTCGCCGTGATTTGCAGTGAGCGGTCATCGTATTTTCCGCAAGGCTATTGGATACGGGTAGCCTCGAATCGCTGAAGCTGGTACTCGACCCCGGCGCATGTGTCTACAGTCAGAATCATTACATCGCCTTGGATCTCAAAGGCAGTGCCATACGCCTTAGCTTGGTAGGTTTGGAGGAGCCTAGAACACTTGGGAACGATGTTACTTTATGTGGGTTGGTTGCCAAATGTAAGCACACTGATGCAAGCCATCAGCTGCATTGCTGTTGGCTCTACATGGGGGCCATTTATGCAACGTATCAATTATCCAGCAATCGAAAGTTTCAATCGTATCTTAACCGCCTAATTTACATATGACCCATCAAAATGCAGCAAATGATTGTGTTGTCCAATTATATCTCCACGCCAAAGGGCCTAGATTCGCACATATCCCAGCTCTATCTGCCCAAAATAAAGGTAATACCTCGGCTCAGCCTGCGCATACCCAATGCGTATATACAGGGAAACATGATTATAATGTATGCTCTTTAAAGAACCAAACGACTTGTGGTATCGGCGGAAACAAGATCAAAGACGAGCCGCACGAAAACAGACACGTAAATCCTAGCAACCAGTCCAGTAGTTTTGCACCAAACGCCGATGCGAAAGCATAGAATTGCGCGACAGCAGCGACGGAGACAATCATGGCTTTTCTCGTTTGCACTCATTTTTGCCTCAAGGCTGTATCCCCTTCGAATTGACTAGTGCGCTCGATATTCGGGTTTTCGAGCCATGTTTACAGGAGGCGGTGGTTCATCGTCGTCCACGGGATATGGCGGGATAGATGCGGATGATACCCGAGTGGTCGGCGGCTGTGGCTGACGATGGCGGCCATTGCTATCTGGCAGGGGTGTCTTGGGTGGCAGGGGAGGCGGCTCAATCCGAGTTGGTGGTACTGCGAATTGCTGCGGTGAAGGTCGGGCATGCTCGTCTGGACTCATAATGGCGATTTTGTCCGAGTGTGCGGCGTTTTGATATTGATTCGGGGATGGCGATGATACCACGAGGCGATCGGGATCATCTGGAATAGGCGATGCTTGCCCTGGTCGAGAGCTCCCCGTGCCCGGACGGACTCGATCGTGTGAACTGCGCGGAGATGCTAGCTGATTTGAGCCAATGTGTAGACTGTCGGGACTGGAGTCGAAAGATGACCGGCTTGGAGGGCTGAGAGGAGCAACCGGTTCGTCTCCAGGCAACTCTACGGCAAGCGGCATTTCGAAGTTGGTTGCCGACGTAGACTTGACCAGTTCTGGAATGCCTTGCTGAGCTCGCTCCCACCTGATCTTGGCCTTGAGAATCTTGGCTAGCTTGCTTGTAATGCCGTGAATCATCTTCTGTTCCGCTTCGCGAGCCATGTATCGGCGTGTGCTAGTGCTGATATCTCCCAGCCTGTGCCATTCATTCATGCCGAATTCGCCGACACCAACTTCAACGTTGAGACGATAGTAATTCTCGACATTGACACCCCGCTTCGTAAGGTGTTCCCGTACCATGTATTCATGAATCTTTTCGCATCCTTCGATTTTTGATATGAGTCGTCTTCGAGCTTCTGCAAACTCCCCGAGGAACCCTTCGTACCACACATGTTGATTCGAGTCACTCGACTTCGGCCGCCGTCCGGTTCCAACACTGACAAAGACTCCAATCTCACGGCCTGGCCACTCGTTGATCACTGCTTCATCCAATGCGTCGGGCGCCGGGTTGAAGGTCCCCACGCCGTCATCGTGGAAAATAGATTGTCCAATACGTATGGGCTTGAATGCCAGGCCGATGGCGCTGGTCGCGCGCCCTGCTTGCCAAATCTTGCAATCAAATTCGGGCGGTGGCTCGCGTCGTGAATCGTATGAGCGCAACATGGCTGCTGGTGCGTTGCGCGGAGATCCTTGGTAGATGGCAGTTACGGCTCTAAGCCAAGTTAGTTGGACAAGTTGACCAGATAAACAGTCTTAATTCAACAACTCACGTTTTGGTCCGTGTTTCACGCGCATCATATAGTCTTGCATGTGGGTTGCCGTATCTTGAGTTGAAGGCAGGTCGCGATGCCATTTGGGCCGATGGACTGCGAGCACTGAAGCTGACGGTACTAGCATTGCTGGGATTGCGCCGAGGTGAAGCGCTGGAGTATTGCGCAGCGTTAAGTGGACTGACAAGGTCATGTGCTTCCTGGCCGTCATTTCCTTCTTTCTCGTAGATGGTGTGTTCTTGCACGGCCTGCTGTATCGCTTCCTCAAGCTTGCTGGCTTTGAACAGCGTCGATCGATAGGGGATGCCAGCAAAAGTCTTGTCTGTCTCAAAGACGACTCTTGTCATCCGTACATATAATTCTTTGCATGTTTCCAGATCTAGGCGCAGTCGACCAAGCATCAGGGCGATCAGCCCGCCAGTTCCGGTGCCGACGATGAGGTCGAAATGGTCGGAGGGCTTCGGGATTTCATGACGTCGGGGGGCTCGGCCTTCAACTTCGACAAACGTTCTGTGCATGAGCTCTTGTACAATGATGAGCATAGAGTATCCGCGCACGCCTCCTCCGTCTGCAGAATAATTAGTATAGTGTTTTTCTGATTTTCTTGAAAAAGAGGGATACGCCGAAGTCTAAGTAGAATAAAAACCCACCTAGAGAGAGTACGCGCAACGGCGGGCCCTTGGTGGTGTCCTTGCGACGGACGCCGTAAGCATCCATGGCGGGACTATGAGGCTCAGATCAGGAGTTCTTCGAAAGTTGAGCAATGGAAAAGGGTCTGGGCGGTATCGCGAATCTGGGCCTTTAGGCTGCACAGAGTGACTCTGATGTGCGGATGGCGGGGTGTGGTTGTCGGCTGTGCCTGGCCGTTGGAAGTAAAGTTGAACGTGCTAGAGGGCAGAGAGCAAGACAAAGTTAATCGGGGGCGCAAAGATGCCGCCACATTTGCTGCAAAGGTGTCGTGACGCAACGCAGTCAGAGAGGCAGAGCAGAGATTCCCGCTTGGCGGCAAAAGGCAGAGGCGGGGTGGGCTCAGATGCTCCTCTCAGCGGGGCAAGTTCTGCAGCGCCACTCGGCCCAAACTGACCTAGAACAAGGACGGACCTGCCCGTTGTTAGTGGCCCCTGTCGCCGAACTTGGAACTTGGTCGTGCAACTTGTGACGCAGCCTTGTCGCTAGAATAGAATGGTCTAGCAAAGGCTTTGGTCAATATCTCGACGATGCTGCGGGAAGGTTGTGAGATGGAAATGGGCAGGGGCGGAGAACCGTCAGCGTACGGAGTAGAGGTTCAAGATTCTTGGGCAGGGGCGGAACCTTGTCATAGGCAAGAGCTATCCGGCAACCCCGGCGCGTGACGCAGCATACGAGGCTTGGCCTGAGGCTGTCATGCCGGCCCTAGAGAGTATCCGAAGTGTTCGATGAATCACTCACGAGAGTAGCAGCGACAGACCATGCAAGCTATTATCACATGGCGCGACCTGCAACCAGAGAGGCTGTGCCTTGCTATCGAACGGGGACGAAGCCAGGTCTTCATCTCGGGGCGACTGGTTTGCAACATACCCTGTCAAGATGCAAAGCCGTTGACTCCGAGCGGCGAGGCCACCAGTAGATGGGGAAATCGCCCAGGCACCGCGCTAGTTTGTTAGAGCAGTTTGAAAATCAGGAAATCAGGAACACCAAGTAAGGTACCAGTGGAGTCCTTTGGTTCGTGTTTTTGGATCCCAACAGGATGATGTACTCTGTACGAATGCGCTCTTGTACAATGTACAGTAAGCATCACAAGAGCCTATCACAGGGCCCAGTTGGCATGAGCCAATCCCTGTAGCTGCCCAATGGCTCGTGGGGACTCTTCTGCCATACAATTTTCTTAAGTAAGCGAGTCTCCACGAGCCATTGGGCAGGTAAAGAGGTATATACTTTGTTTCAACTCTTGGCAGTTCTTGATGCAACACTTCGGATGTTCCCTCAACCACACGCATGGCTGTTCGCAGTCTGGTGACCATGTCGGCGGTTTTGGATCTTGGCTTGGCTGCCAGGATTATGCTACAAGCTGTCATCCCAAGGCCGTGACGATACCCATGGTTGATTGGCTGTTGTCAAAAAATTCTTCTTGTTGCCTGTTTTCATCTGACAACTTTCAGTGGTTCGAACAGTCTCCGCTTGCACATGGTTGGCCTGGGTCATGGTTGTTGTGGCTGTGCCTCGCCGCAGGGTGGTGATGGTGTTGAATGCATTCCCCAAGGATATCCCAGCGGATACAGAACCTATTCAACTGGCCGTGTCAAGCAAGCCACAAAACTAGTCTGCTGGATGCTTCCATTAGCCCAAAGAGGTTTATAATCGACCTGTTTTCCTCCATCTTATCCCTGTCCTGGTGCCTGTCCAGATCGACATTTCAAAACATTTGCTCATGTTTCGCCTGGACAGTACATACGTAGATCGAGCCCATGAACAATGTCAATCTATTTCATTATGCTGCGGCACAAGGCGTCTAGGTGGCTTTACCATATCACCGTCTATCTACGGAGTACCTGGGCATCGTGGCCCTCACACAGGCTCACCGCCTCGGGCTCTGAGGTTCCTGCGCCGTTTTGCTGTTGGGGTTGTGGCAACCTTGGTTCAATGAGGCTGCCGTTGGGCACCAGGATGATCAGAAAACGGGTGTTCGATCGACCGCGAAGTGCCGAACCTGGAAAGATGTAGTAGTACTCCATGCCGAGTACACCGGTCAAAAGTGCATAGGAGAGGTGATTTGCGTTGCAAGCCGACAAATGCATGGCGTTCAAGCAGCTGGTCGATGCTTTCTGCACCCATTCCGTTGTCTCGGCTGGCCGCTCTCAAGAGGCTATTGATGCCAGCGACCCAACCAAATAACAACAATCTTTGGGTGAATTGGGCATCCTGGTTGTGCCAGATCTGCGGGTATGCTGTGGACACGGTGTATGGCCCCGAAGCAATACTATACGCAATTGGTTGCCTTGACGGCTAGGATGCGCCAACCCTGGGGCTTCTGGATGTTGCTCGGTGAGACGGAGCATAGCGTCTTTATTACTCGCCGCACGGCTTGGTACGGAGTACGTTGGCCTTGAACTGCAACTGCATGATGGAGTAATAGGACGGCAATGTTGGCTGAGACGAGGCAAGGCATGCAATGCCTGGTGGTCGGCTGCGGATCTTGTCGTTGGCCAAGTTGGGCTGAGCTGAGCTGGAGAGTTCAGTACGGAGTAGGTGATATTGGTACTAACCTTGCAGGCCTGGACGAGCGGGAGCACCAATGGCGCAAGACGTCAGATGCAGAGCTAGATTGGATGCCAAGTTTGGATTCCACGATGCTTGGGGAACATGTTGCTCAACGGTTGATCGGTCTGTCAGCTTCGAACACGAGCGCTGCAACGTCAAGATATGTAGTATACCAGGGAGTGGCGCATGGAAACCAGTCGACGGTGAAGGCAGCACTCGCTCAGCCGTCCGGTCTGGTATTTCCAAGTTTCACTGGTTTACGCATTCCACCATCCGGGTGAAGATGGCCCAAGGTCAAATGGGTGTAGAATCTTGCATGTCTGGCTAGACCCCACAATCCCACGGCTGCGTTCAACATTGAAAGCTTGGCTTGCCCGGCTGGACCACTCAACAGCCTCGGCTATGGGCCAATGGCAGCGCATGGCCCCCACACTAGAGACACCTTTACATCGACGAGAGAAGATTCAGCACGTTTAGCACCTGGTGGCCGCTGCTGCTCCAGCGGCGCCTCTCAACGTTGAACATTGATGCTTCTGCGTCTGGCTCTGCGCCTGCGTCTGCTTCGCGCAGCTGCTCTGGGCTCTTATTGACGGGGGTCGTTGGTTGATGCATGTGTTCTTCGTTTGCCTTGCCGGTCTGTCCTCGGGATCTGCGCCCTGTTTTCGGCTTCAAGCTGGGTGACGACGAGGTCCGGTGGACCAGGCCGATTATGTATTTGCAAGCAAGCAATCAAGCAATCAATCAACGAAGCAAGCAGGCCTCGCGTGTCCACGACGGCCACGCCAGCTCTCCACGCAGCCTCCAAGCCCTCTCTCTTGTTCGAACCCACTCCTTCAGCCAGCTCACGCCCTTCTGCTGCCATTGATTCTTTGCTCCATTTTCTGCTCGCCTCCTCAGCTCAGCTCATGCGGAAATGCCCTTGGCCGTTTTGGTGGCAGCCTCGCCCACAGCCTGTCGACTTTTGCCCTCATCTGCAGCCTTGGAAACCCACTCCCTCTCCGCTCCTTCTTTTCCCTCGCTGGCCAATTCTCCCGGCGCAGGCTTTGAGGCCAATCAATGGAACTGCTGGCAGCCTTCTTGTTCTCTCTCTGGTCTGCTGCTGAGCTGCCTGGCCTTGTGCCGTCAATCTTTTCGTGTCAAGTCTAATCAGGCCGGTTCCGCCTTGTGCTGGCCTGGAAAGTTTGCAGTGCCACCGTGACCCATTTCATCCGCCTCTTCATCGCATTGCACCGGCACCAACCAACCCGCTCCACCTCGTTTGGTCCCCGATACGACGACTCTCTCGTACTCTTTTTATTTCCCTCTCTTGCTTTGTTTTCTCTTTGTCGCCAATTGCGCTTCGCCAATTCTACTGCCGCCGTCTCCGCGGCTCACCTGTCCATGGAGCCAACTACAAAAAAGAGGAAGTTGGCTCCAAAAGTCAATGCTTCGCCGGCCGCCAATCCTCCGCCTGCTGTGCCCAGTACCGCCTCTGCTTCTTCTACAGCTACAGCTACAGCTACAGCTACAGCTGCGGCCACGGCCACGACTGCCGCCGTTGCTGCCGCCGTTGCTGCCACTGCCCAGTACACCCACGAACCATCGGTGAGCTGTGAAACACCTCCGCCATTCTGGAATACTGCCCAGTCTTCCTTCTTCAGCATGCTTGCGGCACAACCCAGCTAACACGATGCCCAGCTGTCACAGAGTCAGCATTATACAGCCCATGATGTGCCGCTTTCCGAACGACAGGACTTTGAGTCCTTTGCCCGACACCTCCAGGATGCTGCCATGTTGATTCAGCGCCAAACCGAAAAACCGCCGTACGGAGATGTCTCTGTTTTGCTCTTGAGCTGGGAGGAGGATCATTCTGTGGATGACGACGTTGTCGCCTTCGAGCAAGTATTGCAAAATAAATACAACTACGCCACTCAACGCTGGCAAATCCCCACTGTACCAAACCCGAGTATCAAACTTGGTGTGCAAATGGCATCATTTCTTGAGAATGCCCGGCCGAACCACCTGTTGATAATATACTATGCGGGGCATGGCTATGTTGGTGTCGATGGCCATTTGTACTGGGCTTGGTAAGTCTCGTTGAGCTGGCTATGGCGTACCCGTGGCAATGTCTGACTATTTGATGTACAGCAATGGCCGTGACGATGCTGCTAAGCTCAAGTGGGACGGAGTCAGATGCTTATTCGAAGATGCACAGTCTGATATTCTTCTGCTACTGGACTCTTGCGCGACAGCTGATCCTCCGACCGCAGGCAGTCATGGCATAAAACAGGGCATCGCCGCATTCACTCCTGAACACGGCTCAAGAGAACAGGGAAGCCACTCCTTTACAGCTAATCTAATTGAAGCTTTGCAAAAATTGCACAGTGGACGACCCTTTGGCGTCAATCGGCTCTACGAGGAAGTAGTGGCACAGAGGCAGCTCCAAAATGCACAAGCTACTAGGCCTCCGAACCACACACCGGGCGCGCCTATGCAAGGCC